GGGGAGGGTTTTGATGTCCCTGGGAGGGGATATTTTGCTTCCTAAGTGGAGGCTCTTGGTGCCCCTGGATGAATTTTTGGGGTCCCTGGGGGTGTTTTTGGTGTCCCTGTGTGAATTTTTGGTGTCCCTGTGTGAGTTTTTGGGGTCCCTGTGTGAGTTTTTGGGGTCCCTGTGTGAGTTTTTGGAGTCCCTGTGTAAATTTTTAGGGTCCCTGTGTGAATTTTTGGTGTCCCTGTGTGAATTTTTGGGTGCCTGGGGGTGTTTTTGGGGTTCCTGGGGGTGATTTCGGGGTCCCTGTGTGAATTTTTGGTGTCCCTGTGTGAATTTTTTGGGTCCCTGTGTGAATTTTTGGTGTCCCTGGGATGGTTTTGGTGTCCCTAGGGGGAATATTTTGGTTCCTGGGGAGGTTTTGGTGTCCCTGTGTGAATTTTTGGGGTCCCTGGGGGTGATTTTGGTGTCCCTGTGTGAGTTTTTGGGGTCCCTGGGGGTGGTTTTGGTGTCGTGTGAATTTTTGGTGTCCCTGGGGGCGATTTTGGTGTCCCTGTGTGAATTTTTGGGGTCCCTGTGTGAATTTTTGGAGTCCCTGTGTAAATTTTTAGGGTCCCTGTGTGAATTTTTGGTGTCCCTGTGTGCATTTTTGGTGTCCTGGTGGTGGTTTTGGGGTCCCTGGGGTGATTTCGGGGTCCCTGTGTGAGTTTTTGGTGTCCCTGTGTGCATTTTTGGTGTCCCTGGGGTGGTTTGGAGGTCCCTGTGTGAGTTTTTGGACTCCCTGGGGGTGATTTTGGTGTCCCTGTGTGAATTTTTGGGCTCCCTGGGGGTGGTTTTGGGGTCCCTGGATGAATTTTTGGTGTCCCTGTGTGAATTTTTGGGGTCCCTGTGTGAGTTTTTGGGGTCCCTTTGTGAATTTTTGGTGTCCCTGTGTGAATTTTTGGTGTCCCTGTGTGAGTTTTTGGACTCCCTGGGGGTGATTTTGGTGTCCCTGTGTGAATTTTTGGGGTCCCTGGGGGTGTTTTTGGTGTCGCTGTGTGAGTTTTTGGACTCCCTGTGTGAGTTTTTGGTGTCCCTGTGTGAATTTTTGGGGTCCCTGTGTGAATTTTTGGGGTCCCTGTGTGAGTTTTTGGACTCCCTGTGTGAGTTTTTGGTGTCCCTGTGTGCAATTTTGGTGTCCCTGTGTGAGTTTTTGGTGTCCCTGTGTGAATTTTTGGGGTCCCTGGGGGTGTTTTTGGTGTCCCTGGATGAATTTTTTGGGTCCCTGGGGGTGGTTTTGGGGTCCCTGGGGAGGTTTTGGTGTCCCTGTGTGAATTTTTGGGGTCCCTGAGGGTGGTTTTGGTGTCCCTGGGGGGCTTTTTATGTCCCTGGGAAGGGTTTTGGTGTCCTTGGATGAATTTTTGGTGTCCCTGGGTGAATTTTTGGGGTCCCTGGGGAGGATATTTTGGTTCCTGGGGAGGTTTTGGTGTCCCTGTGTGAATTTTTGGGTCCCTGGGGAGATTTTTGGTGTCCCTGAAGGTGATTTCAGGGTCCCTGTGTGAATTTTTGGGGTCCCTGGGGGTGCTTTTGGTGTCTCTAGGGGTGTTCTTGGTGTCCCTGGGGGTGTTTTTGGGGTCCCTGAGTGAATTCTTGGGGTCCCTAGGATGGTTTTGGTGTCCCTGGGGGGAATATTTTGGTTCCTGGGGGTGGTTTTGGTGTCCCTGTGTGAATTTTTGGGTGCCTGGGGGTGTTTTTGGGGTCCCTGGGGTGATTTCAGGGTCCCTGTGTGCATTTTTGGTGTCCCTGTGTGAATTTTTGGGGTCCCTGGGGGTGTTCTTGGTGTCCCTGTGTGAATTTTTGGTGTCCCTGGGGGTGGTTTTGGTGTCCCTGGGGGTGTTTTTGGTGTCCCTGGGGTGGTTTTGGTGTCACTGCGGGTGGTTTTGGTGTCCCTGTGTGAATGTTTGGGCTCCCTGTGTGAATTTTTGGGGTCCCTGGGATGGTTTTGGTGTCCCTGGGGGGAATATTTTGGTTCCTGGGGGTGGTTTTGGTGTCCCTGTGTGAATTCTTGGGCTCCCTGGGGGTGGTTTTGGTGTCCCTGGGGTGGTTTTGGTGACCCTGAGTGAATTTTTGGGCTCCCTGGGGGTGGTTTTGGGGTCCCTGGATGAATTTTTGGTGTCCCTGAGTGAATTTCTGGTGTCCCTGGGGTGCTTTTGGGGTCCCTGGGGAGGATATTTTGGTTCCTGGGGAGGTTTTGGTATCCCTGGGGGTGTTCTTGGTGTCCCCGGGGGTGTTTTTGGGGTCCCTGTGTGAATTTTTGGGGTCCCTGTGTGAGTTTTTGGTGTCCCTGTGTGAGTTTTTGTGTCCCTGTGTTAATTTTTGGTGTCCCTGTGGGTGTTTTGGTGTCCCTGGGGGTGTTTTTGGGGTCCCTGGCACCTACTTGGGGAACCAGTTGGGGTCTCCTCGGAAGAGCCCATCACCCTTGGCGGCTGCCAGGCTGCCCAGGTTCATCAGAGTGCGCTGCACGCACGCCAGGTTCTTCCCTGGGGGAGATAAAAGGGTCTGTGACCCCTGGGACCCCTAAATCCCCCTAAATCCCCCCTGTGACCCCCTCAACCCCCCTGTGCCCCCCAGGCTGCCCAGGTTCATCAGAGTGCGCTGCACGCACGCCAGGTTCTTCCCTGGGGGGAAAATATGGGGTCAGACCCCCCTGGGACCCCCAAACCCCCTAAACCCCCTGTGACCCCCAAACCCCCCTGTGCCCCCAAACCCCCTGAACCCCCTGTGACCCCCCAACCCCCCTGTGCCCCCCAGGCTGCCCAGGTTCATCAGTGGTGCGCTGCACGCACTGCCAGGTCTCTTCCCCTGGGGGCACACATGGGTCAGACCCCTGGGACCCCCTAAATCCCCCCTGTGACCGCCTAAATCCCCCGTGCCCCCCAAACCCCCTGTGCCCCCAAACCCCCCCGTGCCCCCCAGGCTGCCCAGGTTCATCAGAGTGCGCTGCACGCACGCCTAGGTTCTTTCCCTGGGGAAATAGTGAGGTTAGACCCCTGGGACCCCCTAAACCCCCTGTGACCCCCTTGCGACCCCTAAATTCCCCTAAATCCCCCCTGTACCCCCTGTGACCCCCAAACCCCCTGTGCCCCCCAGGCTGCCCAGGTTCATCAGAGTGCACTGCACGCACGCCAGTGTTCTTCCCTGGGGAAAATATGGGGTCAGACCCCCTGGGACCCCCCAAACCCCCCTGTGACCCCCTAAATCCCCCCCGTGACCCCCTCTGTGACCCCTAAACCCCCTGTGCCCCCAAACCCCCCGTGCCCCCCAGGCTGCCCAGGTTCATCAGAGTGCGCTGCACGCACGCCAGGTTCTTCCCCTGGGGGATAAAAGGGTCTGTGACCCCACTGGGACCCCCTAAACCCCTGTGACCCCTAAATCCCCCTGTGACCCCCTAAATCCCCTGTGACCCCCCAAACCCCCCTGTGCCCCCAGGCTGCCCAGGTTCACTCAGGAGTGCGCTGCACACACGCCAGGTTCTTCCCTGGGGGGAAAATAATGGGGTCAGACCCCCCTGGGACCCCATCCCTGACCCCATAACCCCATCCCTGACCCCATAACCCATCCCATAACCCCATCCCTGACCCCATAACCCCATCCCTGACCCCATAACCCATCCCATAACCCCATCCCTGACCCCATAACCCCATCCCTGATCCCATAACCCATCCCATAACCCCATCCCTGACCCCATAACCCATCCCATAACCCCATCCCATAACCCATCCCTGACCCCATAACCCATCCCATAACCCATCCCTGATCCCATAACCCATCCCATAACCCCATCCCTGACCCCATAACCCATCCCTGACCCCATAACCCCATTCCCTGACCCCATTCCCACCTTCCCACAGATCCACAGTCTGGAATATATCCGTGGGGGCGATCCCATAACCCCATCCCTGATCCCATAACCCATCCCATAACCCCATCCCTGATCCCATAACCCCATCCCTGACCCCATAACCCATCTCATAACCCCATCCCTGACCCCATAACCCATCCCTGACCCCATCCCTGACCCCATAACCCATCCCTGACCCCATAACCCCATCCCTGACCCCATAACCCATCCCATAACCCCATCCCTGACCCCATAACCCATCCCTGACCCCATAACCCCATCCCTGACCCCATAACCCATCCCATAACCCCATCCCTGATCCCATAACCCCATCCCTGACCCCATAACCCATCCCATAACCCATCCCTGACCCCATAACCCATCCCATAACCCATCCCTGACCCCATAACCCATCCCTGACCCCATAACCCATCCCTGACCCCATAACCCATCCCTGACCCCATAACCCCATCCCATAACCCCATCCCTGACCCCATAACCCCATCCCTGACCCCATAACCCATCCCTGACCCCATAACCCCATCCCATAACCCCATAACCCATCCCTGACCCCATAACCCATCCCATAACCCCATCCCTGACCCCATAACCCCATCCTTGACCCCATAACCCATCCCTGACCCCATAACCCATCCCATAACCCCATCCCTGACCCCATAACCCATCCCTGACCCCATAACCCATCCCTGACCCCATAACCCATCCCATAACCCCATCCCTGACCCCATAACCCCATCCTTGACCCCATAACCCATCCCATAACCCACCCCATAACCCATCCCTGACCCCATAACCCATCCCTGATCCCATAACCCCATCCCTGATCCCATATCCCATCCCTGACCCCATAACCCATCCCTGACCCCATAACCCATCCCATAACCCCATCCCTGACCCCATAACCCATCCCTGACCCCATAACCCATCCCATAACTCCATAACCCCATCCCATAACCCCATCCCTGACCCCATAACCCCATCCCTGACCCCATAACCCATCCCTGACCCCATAACCCCATCCCTGACCCCATAACCCATCCCATAACCCCATCCCTGACCCAATAACCCCATCCCTGACCCCATAACCCATCCCATAACCCCATCCCTGACCCCATAACCCATCCCATACCCCATCCCATAACCCCATCCCTGACCCCATAACCCATCCCATAACCCCATAACCCCATCCCTGACCCCATAACCCCAATCCCAATCCCATCCCACCTTCCCACAGATCCACGGTCTGGAATATATCCGTGGGGGCGATCCCATAACCCCATAACCCATCCCATAACCCATCCCATAACCCCATCCCTGACCCCATAACCCATCCCATAACCCCATAACCCCATCCCTGACCCCATAACCCCAATCCCAATCCCATCCCACCTTCCCACAGATCCACAGTCTGGAAGATGTCCGTGGGGGCGATCCCATAACCCCATCCCTGACCCCATAACCCATCCCATAACCCCATCCCTGACCCCATAACCCATCCCATAACCCCATCCCTGACCCCATAACCCCATCCCTGACCCCATAACCCCATCCCTGACCCCATAACCCATCCCTGACCCCATAACCCATCCCATAACCCCATCCCTGACCCCATAACCCATCCCATAACCCCATCCCTGACCCCATCCCATAACCCATCCCTGACCCCATAACCCATCCCATAACCCCATCCCTGACCCCATAACCCATCCCATAACCCATCCCATAACCCCAATCCCACCTTCCCACAGATCCACGGTCTGGAAGATGTCCGTGGGGGCGATCCCATAACCCCATAACCCCATTCCCTGACCCCATCCCACCTTCCCACAGATCCACAGTCTGGAAGATATCCGTGGGGGCGATCCCATAACCCCATCCCTGATCCCATAACCCACCCCATAACCCCAATCCCAATCCCATCCCACCTTCCCACAGATCGACTGTCTGGAATATGTCCGTGGGGGCGATCCCATAACCCCATCCCTGATCCCATAACCCCATCCCTGACCCCATAACCCCATTCCCTGACCCCATAACCCATCCCTGATCCCATAACCCCATCCCTGACCCCATAACCCCATCCCTGACCCCATAACCCCATCCCTGATCCCATAACCCCATCCCTGACCCCATAACCCATCCCTGATCCCATAACCCATCCCTGATCCCATATCCCATCCCTGACCCCATAACCCCATCCCTGACCCCATAACCCCATCCCTGACCCCATAACCCATCCCATAACCCCATCCCTGACCCAATAACCCCATCCCTGACCCCATAACCCATTCCCTGACCCCAATCCCACCTTCCCACAGATCCACGGTCTGGAATATATCCGTGGGGGCGATCCCATAACCCCATAACCCATCCCATAACCCATCCCTGACCCCATAACCCCATCCCTGACCCCATAACCCATCCCATAACCCCATCCCTGATCCCATAACCCCATCCCTGACCCCATAACCCATTCCCTGACCCCAATCCCACCTTCCCACAGATCCACGGTCTGGAATATATCCGTGGGGGCGATCCCATAACCCCATAACCCATCCCATAACCCCATCCCTGACCCCATAACCCATCCCATAACCCCATCCCTGACCCCATAACCCATCCCTGACCTCATAACCCTCATCCCCTGACCCCTATCCCATAACTCCCATCCCTGACCCCATAACCCATCCCATAACCCCATCCCTGACCCCATAACCCATCCCATAACCCCAATCCCATCCATTCCCACCTTCCCACAGATCCACGGTCTGGAAGATGTCCGTGGGGGCGATCCCATAACCCAATAACCCCAATCCCAATCCCATCCCACCTTCCCACAGATCCACAGTCTGGAATATATCCGTGGGGGCGATCCCGTAGCGCTCGGCCGCCTGCAGGAATTGGGATATCTGCTCCATCTGCCGGAAGGCCATGGCCGAGCCCTGCACCTTGGGAACGGCCGGGCGATCCCGGGGATGCAGGCTGTTAATGAGGTGGCACAGAACCTACGGGGTAAATATAGGGTCAGTTATGGGGTCAGTTATGGGGTCAGGGCTGTTAATGAGGTGGCACAGAACCTGTGGGGTCAGATAGTTATGGGGTCAGTTATGGGGTCAGTTATAGGGTCAGTCAGTTATGGGGTCAGTTATAGGGTCAGTTATAGGGTCAGTTATAGGGTCAGTCAGTTATGGGGTCAGGGCTGTTAATGAGGTGGCACAGAACCTGTGGGGTCAGATAGTTATGGGGTCAGTTATGGGGTCAGTTATAGGGTCAGTCAGTTATGGGGTCAGTTATAGGGTCAGTTATAGGGTCAGTTATAGGGTCAGTCAGTTATGGGGTCAGGGCTGTTAATGAGGTGGCACAGAACCTGTGGGGTAAATTATAGGGTCAGTTATGGGGTCAGGGCTGTTAATGAGGTGGCACAGAACCTGTGGGGTCAATGAGTTATGGGGTCAGTTATGGGGTCAGGGCTCTGGGATCAGTTTTAGGATGAGTTATGGGGTCAGGTCACTCACGGTGCCATCCTTGAGCCACTGCTGGAAGCCGTCCCTGCCGGGCTGGGCAGGGGATCAGTTATGGGGTCAGTTATGGGGTCAGGGCTGTGGGATCAGTTATAGGGTCAGTTATAGGGACAGCTATGGGGTCACTCACGGTGCCATCCTTGAGCCACTGCTGGAAGCCGTCCCTGCCGGGCTGGGGCAGGGGATCAGTTATGGGGTCAGTTATGGGGTCAGTTATGGGGTCAGCTATGGGGTCAGTTATGGGGTCAGCTATGGGGTCAGTGCTATGGGGTCAGCTATGGGGTCAGCTATGGGGTCAGTTATGGGGTCAGTTATGGGGTCAGTTTTGGGGTCAGTTATAGGGTCAGCTCTGGGGTCACTCACGGTGCCATCCTTGAGCCACTGCTGGAAGCCGTCCCTGCCGGGCTGGGGCAGGGGATCAGTTATGGGATCAGTTATGGGGTCAGTTATGGGGTCAGTTATGGGGTCAGTTATGGGGTCAGTGCTATGGGGTCAGTTTTAGGATGAGTTCTGGGGTCAGGGTCACTCACGGTGCCATCCTTGAGCCACTGCTGGAAGCCGTCCCTGCCGGGCTGGGGCAGGGGATCAGTTATGGGGTCAGTTATGGGGTCAGGGCTGTGGGATCAGTTATAGGGTCAGTTATGGGGTCAGTTATGGGGTCAGTTATGGGGTCAGGGCTGTAGGATGAGTTATGGGGTCAGGGCCACTCACAGTGCCATCCTTGAGCCACTGCTGGAAGCCGTCCCTGCCGGGCTGGGGCAGGGGATCAGTTATGGGGTCAGGGCTCTGGGGTCAGTTTTAGGATGAGTTCTGGGGTCAGTTATGGGGTCACTCACGGTGCCATCCTTGAGCCACTGCTGGAAGCCGTCCCTGCCGGGCTGGGGCAGGGGATCAGTTATGGGGTCAGTTATGGGGTCAGGGCTCTGGGGTCAGTTTTAGGATGAGTTCTGGGGTCAGTTATGGGGTCAGTTATAGGGTCAGTTATGGGGTCAGCTATGGGGTCAGGGCTGTAGGATCAGTTATAGGGTCAGTTATAGGGTCAGCTATGGGGTCACTCACAGTGCCATCCTTGAGCCACTGCTGGAAGCCGTCCCTGCCGGGCTGGGGCAGGGGATCAGTTATGGGGTCAGGGCTCTGGGGTCAGTTTTAGGATGAGTTCTGGGGTCAGTTATGGGGTCACTCACGGTGCCATCCTTGAGCCACTGCTGGAAGCCGTCCCTGCCGGGCTGGGGCAGGGGATCAGTTATGGGGTCAGTTATGGGGTCAGGGCTCTGGGGTCAGTTTTAGGATGAGTTCTGGGGTCAGTTATGGGGTCAGTTATAGGGTCAGTTATGGGGTCAGCTATGGGGTCAGGGCTGTAGGATCAGTTATAGGGTCAGTTATAGGGTCAGCTATGGGGTCACTCACAGTGCCATCCTTGAGCCACTGCTGGAAGCCGTCCCTGCCGGGCTGGGGCGGGGCGGGGGCGTCGGGGCCCAGCTGGGTCTGGATCCAGCGCAGCAGCAGCTGCTCCAGCTCGGGGTCGTACTGACGCTCGATCTTCTGCTGCACCTCCCGGCTCAGCCCGTACGACGGGCCCCGGCTCCGCCATCCTGGGGGGGACAGGGGGACACATCAGGGGGTGGGGACACCCATCAGGGGACACCTCAGGGGATGGGGGGACACCCATCAGGGGACACCTCAGGGGACGGGGGACACAGGGGGATGCATCAGGGGATGGGGGGACACCTCAGGGGTGGGGGACACCCCACAGGGGAGGGGGCACATCAGGGGATGGGGGGCACACAGGGGGACACAGCAGGGGATGGGGGGACACGTCAGGGGATGGGGGACACATCAGGGGATGGGGGACACGTCAGGGGATGGGGGACGGGGGGACACGTCAGGGGATGGGGACACATCAGGGGATGGGGGGACAGGGGGGACACGTCAGGGGATGGGGGATAGGGGGGACACGTCAGGGATGGGGGATGGGGGGACACGTCAGGGGATGGGGGACACATCAGGGGATGGGGGACAGGGGGACACGTCAGGGGATGGGGGGATGGGGGGACACGTCAGGGGATGGGGGCACACAGTGGGGGACACGTCAGGGGATGGGGGCACACAGAGGGGGACACCCATCAGGGGAGGGGGACACATCAGGGGATGGGGGGACACAGCAGGGGATGGGGGACATGTCAGGGGATGGGGGACACATCAGGGGATGGGGGACAGGGGACACCCATCAGGGGACACCTCAGGGGATGGGGGGACACGTCAGGGGATGGGGGGACAGGGGGACACGTCAGGGGTGGGGGACACCTCAGGGGGTGGGGGGACACCTCAGGGGATGGGGACACCTCACGGGGAGAGAGGACACGTCAGGGGATGGGGGAACAGGGGGACACCCAGCAGGGGACAGGGGGACACGTCAGGGGATGGGGGACACGCTAGGGAGACATGGTAGGGGATGGGGGACAGGGGGACACGTTAGGGGTGGGGGACACGTCGGGGATGGGGGACGGGGAGACACCCATCAGGGGACAGGAGGACACGTCAGGGGATGGGGACAGGGGGACACGTCAGGGATGGGGGACACCCCACAGGGGAGGGGGGACATGTCAGGGGACGGGTGGCACTGGTGGCACTGGCAGGGCCAAGGTGGTTCTGGTGACACTGGTGGTGCCAGGGTGGCACTGGTGGGGCCAAGGTGGTTCTGGTGACACTGGAGGTGCCAGGGTGGCACTGGTAGGGCCAAGGTGGCACTGGTGGCACTGGTGGGGCCAGGGTGGTTGTGGTGGCACTGGTGGGGCCAGGGTGGCACTGGCAGTGCCAGGGTGGCACTGGTGGCACTGGTGAGGCCAGGGTGGCACTGGAGGTGCCAGGGTGGCACTGGTGGCTCTGGTAGGGCCAAGGTGGCACTGGTGGCACTGGTGGGGCCAGGGTGGCACTGGTGGCACTGGTGGCACTGGTGGCACTGGAGGTGCCAGAGTGGCACTGGTGGGGCCAAGGGGGCACTGGTGGCACTGGTGGGGCCAGAGTGGTACTGGTGGCTCTGGTGGCACTGGTGGCACTGGTGGCACTGGTGGCACTGGCAGGGCCAAGGTGGCTGTGGTGGCACTGGTAGGGCCAAGGTGGTTCTGGTGACACTGGTGGTGCCAGAGTGGCACTGGTGGGGCCAAGGTGGCACTGGTGACACTGGAGGTGCCAAGGTGGCTCTGGTGGCACTGGTGGGGCCAAGGTGGCACTGGTGGCACTGGTGGCTCTGGTGGGGCCAGGGTGGCACTGGAGGTGCCAAGGTGG